TTAGTGTATTTATGAACTCATAACAATGTGCCTTACTACCATTGATAATAACAATACTGTGTACCTGCGAATGTTGATGTCATAAAAAACCAATTAGCTCCTGTATTTGTAATTCCTCGTTTATTATACATGTATATTAACTCAAAAATTTGAAACTTTAAATGTTTATATATAATAAACAAATAATGTTATACTAAAAATTCAAATGTCATTTATTATTAATTTAAACACTCTAACATTTTATTAAATTCAAAATATATGTTTCCATTTAAAAAAACAAAGTTGACCCCCTTATAAGGCATTAGGGATGAACTTAAAAAGTATTACATAGTTAATAATTCAAGAATAATGTGTAACTAAAGATAACCAAAAAAAAAATGTTTAAATATATTTATTCTGTAAGTAATTGAGTGGGTTATGATAAAAAAATCACTCTATATAGCAATCCTTTTTTTTAATTACATCGGAAAAGTCCGAACCCGCACAACAAAATTAAGGTGTAATTCTGACTTGACATTTACTTTTATCATGGCCTAGATAATAGAACTACTAACATAATAAAAAGTGTTAAACATATATTTAATGGCGCCGTACTAAGTTTATTACTAATAAAAATTATAAGTACCATTTTAGGGTCATCTCAAATTTATAGAAAGAACATAATAATTATTTTTGTTTAAAACACCCAGGACAATCTTTTATATTATATTTAATAGCTTATAAATCCAAGTAACATCATTATATTATTCTTCTCGTTAATGGAGTACTAATATCCAAATTATTAAGTAAGTTATCGTTTAATTAATAAGGTATATTTAGTTTATAACACATCATATAAATTTTTTTAATTTTTAAATGGACTATTAATTATTTCGCCACTTTAAAATAGAGACCACGAAATTGATACGTATTCTATTGTAGATCTCATTATAACAAAAAATAATACATTCAGACTTTATATATATTATTAAATTTATTACAATTATGCCTCATAAACCAACGGTACGTGAAACTTTATTACACCAATTAGTTACGTAAAAGATAAATCACTAGATAAATAAACTTCTAAGTCATTAATATTATAATCATTTCTAAGTTAAAACTATCTATTATATAACTATCATGTACAAAGTTAATTTTTTCCTAGTAAAAGTTCTTTATAAACACTTAGTGGCATTTATACCTATTTTATTTAATATTCTAAACTTATCAAAATTTGCTTGAACCTTAATTCGATCATGATGAAGTACAATTTACATATATAATTTAAGATCATTTTTAAACAAATAATAATTATTAAAACCGAAACAGGAATTACAACAATCAGAAATAAAATAAATAAAAAAAAGAAACAAATTTCCTCTTTGAGAAACGCCAGAAGACGCATCTAAATGTATAATATATAATATTTATTTATTTATATATTTTTTTTCTATATCTATATTTGGAAGTAAATTTACAAATTTTCTTTCTTTAAGAAATTATGAAAGCATAGGCTCACCAAAGCCTTTATATTTTAACTTTTGAATTAAGATTAAATAATCAACACTATCATATGACTTTACTTAGTTAGTGTAATCAACACAATCTTCTGAATTTACAGTGAATACTAAATCAGAGTAAAAAACAAGTAGGTTTGATATAGGTTTGCTTATCAGCTAAAATAGATTCAACAGTAATACAAAAATTAAGTTCCCAATTCTTTTTACAGATTCCATTTTAGCAAAGTGATTAATTTTGAAATAAAACAGTAATTGCACTTATTAATATATTTTATTTTAACCCAGACAGGATATATATAAGTGTACTTCTATCGGTAAGAAACAGAGGACAGATATGACATAAAAATGAGTGTAAGGTCTAATGTATAATTTTTAAATATTTACAAACGCTAGTACTGAAAACTAATTGAGAAAAACCATAACATTTTCCTATAAATAATACATTACAATTTCTTAAAGTTATCTAAATAATATATTTTAAGTGTCCTACATTTATGCTATCTTACTTTGTTATTATATTCGTAACACATACCTTTCAGCCGTGAAAGTAGCTTTGTATAATTTACAAAAATAATTATAAATTAAAAAATATGTATTTCTATATCATGTATATTATAATAATTATGAGATTTTTACCATTTTTTTAACATGAAAAGAGTATATTTTATCTAATAATCTACTTCTTTTAAAGATCTACAGATCTATCCAAAAAAATTTTAATTTTTTCCTTTTAAAGCAAATAAAAACAGTGACCTAATTTATTATTTTGAATCAAATGGTCTGTTTTAAAGTTAAAACCAACATTGATTCAAATTTTAATTGCTTACTTTTAAAAATTAGTTGATTAATAAATATTTTATAAGTATCCGTTTGTCAGAGTTCTTTTAGATAAAGTTGAAATTCTAATTTAAGTACTATTATTAAATTTTCTTAAATTTACAGTCTGTAATAACGTGTGAACAGTAAAAATAATTTTCTATTTTAAACTCTGGTAATCATTAATTGCGTTTAAAGTGACTAATACACTTTCGTTTGAATTTTCTTATTAAAACGACATTGTTTTTAGTTCACGTTTAATAATTAACTGTAAGGAAACTAAATTAAAAATATTTTAATTTTTAAAAGAGTATGAAAATTAATGTTAACTTGAAATATTGCTCCTCTTGCAAGAGGTATAAAACGTTTATGTTTAACATCTTTAAAAAAAGTGCTTTTAATTCTTAATAATAGAAACTTCTATAGAAATTCAATAACATAGAGAAAAAAAATTATCATAATTTTAATGAATCGTATCTAAGTACTTATGTCTTAAATTTATTAAAATATTAATACATTTATTAGAGACTTTTGTAGCTATAATTTCAAGTTAAATTTATCATTATATGTTTTACTTATGATAAAATTTAAAATTGCAATGAAAAAAATCGATAAAGACATGTAAAATTTAGTCTCAGTTTTAAATATTTCTAGAAATATGATACGCCATTTAAAAATCGCATAATATAATATATTTTATACAGTTCCTTTTTTTCTACTTTTAATATTAAATATAATGTTGCATAAAATTCGACTATAGAGTACCGTTAATTGGGCCAATTGGGGGCGTTGGTTAAACTTTGAACAGTTTCTACTATTTTTAAAGGCGTATCAATCTACAGCACTAGTAAAACGACGTTTACTATTATTGTTAAGAAATACAAAATATTTGTTAACCAAAATTAAGTGATATAATCTGTAAAATATTTAATTGTCCCAAGTTGGCCCATTTTACGGCACTTATTTCAACTAAATATATATTTTAAACATTATAGTGTGAAAAAACATGTGAAATTCAACATGTTATAAATTAAATTCCCAAGTCTACATTTATACACATATAGTGCTATATACCATCAACATTCACAACGCAAGAGTTACAATGTTACCTTCTTTTTTTAATGTGTTTGCTACTTGCTAAATGAAATTAAATGAGGGGCTTATACTGTTGTGTATCTTTTGAATGATAATCGTATTTGGCAGTAACAAAATGTTGGTGTTTTCTATTTAACAAAACTCGTATGGCAAACTAAGCATTGAAGAGCCGTCAAAATATTTGAGTATTTGAAATTCAAATGTTTTGACATTTTCACCAATGAGACACTCGTTTTATTCATTGAGGAAAAATGCAGCTCTTTATAACAATACTTTCTTTATTCCTTAATCGAAGTGCGTAAAGTTCAATAACGTGATACTGAATGTTGTTTTGCCAGCTACACAGAATATGTAAATATCTGAAATACTTGTGCCGTGTGTTATTTACGCCGGTCCATTGGGATTTATTTATATTTTTTTATCAACCGATAAAAACATTTTACGATTTTCTCGAAGAACGCATAAATGACAGTCACAATAAATAACAATACACTGTTAGACGACTGGCTATCACTCTTTTTATATTACAATACAAACGATTTAAAATAATTACAAGCGATGCAAAAGTTCTTGAAATTTTAATGCTCTTTTTATTCAAACAATTTTTACAAAAAGGACTGTTTAACCCTAAATTTTACGAATAATAAGTGGCTTGTTTTATGGTGGAAATTACTGATTTAGATACATTCCTATTACGACACATCTAAAGAGGAATGAATGCATTAACTCTTTTCTTCGTAAAAATCGCATTATTACTTCATCGTCGTGATGTTAGAAGTGAATAGTTCAAAACAAACATTCAAAAATTTTCAACAATATTCTCGTTAATTCGCATATAAAATTCACCAAATGTTCACGTTGAATGTTTTTTTTTATAAAATTTGACTATTGATTAATTAATTAATTATATGGAAAAGGAAATTATAAAAAAAACTAGGTACAGTCGGAATGTGGCACAATAGGCAACAAATATACTTAAACATGTACGGATTGATATCTGACAGTGTTATCATTACCACAAAATGATAGTCTTAAAAATAACTTTAAAATTCAAGAATATATGTTTATTGTCAGTCAGTCGCAGGATTGACTGCTAAATTTTTAAATAGAAAAATAATAAGTAAAGAAATATTTGACATAATTTTTTACTATGTGTCAATGTTCTTTCGTAATTAGTTAATTTGTGAGAATTTCACAAAATATGTATTTATTTGAAGATAATTAATTCCATAAAATTAAAGTTGGCAGTTTTTAAAGTTTATAGTTTTTAGAAAAATTTTTGTTAGTAAATAAAAAAATTGACTGGTTTTTCTTTCGATTATAGAAAAATTGTTCGATTACATTAAATTTTAATATAATTGAAAAATTGTTTAGGTTTAAATCTAGAGTTCTTAAGTATATAGGTATACTTTATAATATGTTTTCATAGAAACATTTCATTTTTTTTGTTGTTTCTTAAAAAAGTTTTTAAAAATACAGTTACCAGGATTGTATTTTAATGCTTCCAATAATCGAAATTGTAGCAATCATTTATTGCGAGAATAGGAAAACATCATATAAAAATTAATTTATAACAGTGATTGTTACCTGTTGGGGTGGGCGTCAATTGTTTCATAGCAATAATATGATGTATGTCATACGACTTGAATATGTTGATTTTCCTTGATTTAGAAAATATCCTTTGCAAACCGTGTATAGCAGCCGAAAACTCTTTCGTATAGATTCGCGTGTCGAACGACTTGTAGGGTAGTACCAACCCAACGGTGAGGTTTTGATGTTGCCGTCTGGACATTATTCTAGGCACTGTCTGTGGTTGCCGACGGAACCGTTCCGTACTCGTCGTAGTCGGCACTTGGGTGGTAGATATTAGCACGGGTTCTTTTAGTCGATTTTTGAGCACGCCGAGTTTAATAGCACTTTGACCACGGCCAGTATTAGACGGTGCAAAAAAGTCCAGTGTTTGAGTGTTGGTCTGTAGAACAGAGCGATTCTTGGACGTCCAGCAATTTACGGCTGCCAACAACGCCAAGAACGCTCCGAACACGAACAACCATCTTCGAACAGATACCATGTTTTGGTCCTAAACAAAAATAAAAAAACCATTAAAAAAAAGATAATAATCAATTCAATAAGATAATAGCAATCGATATAAAATTTCAACTGCATTACTGTAGGTTGGAAAAACTAAAAAGGGTTGAATAACAAAAACGTTTTAGTGGAATAGAATTGATTCAACGGGTTGGAAGATATTAAGTATCACATTTACACGGATTGTTTCACTGACAAATGAACAAAATCCTTTGGAATGTTTAATATGTGTTTAATATAACAAGATATGTTGTGAAATAACTGCATTTTAGACCGATTTTTTATTATCAAATACACCATTAGTTTAAACTACTTCTTGGAATACAAAAATAGTGTTTTATATTAAAAAGTAAATAAAAAAGCTACACTGAAATAAGTACTTAAATTGAATTGCTCGATTTCACAAAATTAAATGCAGTAATATTAGCAAAATTCGTTGAATGGAAATTGATATATAATACTTGATATGAAAATTAACTATTCGAAATTATTTAGCGTATTAAAATTGAATATATAATTTTGTGTTCCTGTAAGTTCTTTTTAAAAATTATTTCACTTATCGACGCTACCACAAAGGATTGACTCGGCGATGAAGATTTACTGGAATAATCATGTGTAATTAAGATTGACAGCATGTTACTAGATTTAGCGACCTAAGATGCCACAAAGACAAACTTCACCGCTAGGCCACATGTCAATGATGATTCAGATTTCGATACACTTCCATATAGATTGATAACGAGGTGTGCAACTGAGTGAAACACGGTACTGTGTCACATTAAATTATTAAGTTAAAAGAAACTTTAAATCATAAATATATATTGCCTTAAAATATATGTTATACCCTTTATTCGAATTTAGTTATCTTTAATTAGTACTCGGATTTTAAGTTGATATGTAATTAATGTATCAATAATTTAGTAATTTTCAAAAGTATTAACTTCAATTATTCATAGAAAATTAAATACATTTCTACAAATTAAATAAAATTTAATATTTTGATATAATTAGTATGTCTTATATGTTATAAATTATAACATAATCATAATTTAATTTTTATAAATTGCTAATTTTAACAATCTTAATATTATATATATTTTTATCAAAACAAGTAACATGCACNTTTTTATAAATTGCTAATTTTAACAATCTTAATATTATATATATATTTTTATCAAAACAAGTAACATGCACCACAACAATTAGTTCATTTATTTTACTCTGTGTCGTGAGGTGAAAAGCAAGAAATATTATTAGAAATTTCATTTATATTTTATATGACCGATATTATTTTATGTTAAATGTAAAAAACCATGTTTTTTGAAAATAATCAAAGAACTTTTTTAAAAAATAATTAATACGAATAAATTAAATACTTCTTATACTGACGATAGAATTTTTTTTAGTTTCAGTTAATCATTAAATGTTTAGAGTCACGTATTATTTACTGAACACCGTCAATTTTTTATAAAACGTTCTAAAAAAAAAAGCTGTAGGATATTTATTCATCTTATTATATAATAGAATATATATATATATTTATGACTATTTTATGCATGATTAAATATTTTAATTTACGTTGATTATTTATAAAGTGCTATGCAATAAAATAAAATTATACCCTCCAAAATAAAACGAATAAATTATTTATTTATTTAACTCTTTTACGACATTTGAACTACACCTTTGCGACTAGTTGACGATGATGTTAAAATATAGATCAACATTCAGACGAAACGTTTATCAACAATTTATGAAAATAAAATGTTGAGTTTTAATATTTCTTTCAATAACCACTCATGAAATTTAACTATAAAAACAACGACTAACTTATATAATTACAGTTTACTTAACACATTACATTTTTAAATAGTAATTAAGATTATTTATGACCTTAGTTTGTAGAATATATTGTTAATATCCGTAAAACTTTTTCTTCATTTATGACCGCTAAATAAACCAACTCGAAAGTAGAAAATATTTAATTTTAAAACATAGGTTCTTTTTATTATCGGTCAATTATGAAAAAAAATATTTAAAAAAACGTATTAAACTTCATTGTTTAAATAAAACAGTCAAAGTAAACATTTTTACTATTAATATTTAAAACATACACTATTTATATTAACATGATTTAAGAATTTAAAATTCGTCATAACAAACGTAAAAATAATTTTGAATTGTATAACTGCAGCATATTATTATACTCTTTATTAAAAATATACAAATAAGACCAGAAACATATACTAAAAAAAAAAAAAACTGTAGCACACTATAAACGTGGCATAGTTGGGAAAACGCTTCGATGCAAATCTGTAGATGATGTTTAATTTTAAGAAATTGGTAGATTATTTCAAAAGCAACAACAACTCTTATTCCCTTATTTTTATCCCGATTAGTTATTTGATTTATAACTATAATATATGAATAAATAATAATTATAGTAATTAAATTTAGAATGATATTGATATTCAATAATTTAATATTGTAATTTTTACGAAGAAATTATAAAAATAATAAAGTAGTTGTATATTTCTTTACTTTAAACACGTATAATAATTTAAAGGGCTTGATGCAATATTTTTCAATAAAAAAATTTTTGTTACTTATAACAAAGTTTTATACACTGCACTACAAGGAACTTTCATCAGAAACAAAAATATACTTTTCTAAATCAACTTTTCGCGATGTTTTTTTAATGTGCAATTGGACTTTTTCTATCACTTCTAAATTTTAATATTATTACTTATTATTAAAAAATCAGTATTTATGTATAAAAAAAGAACAAATAAAATTGTTTTAAATTAATACTGATTTTGATTATTAATATGTTAAAAATAAGAAAAATAACATATTTAACCTATTTTTTTAATCCTTTAAAGTTGATTTTTGTGAGTTTATAATGAAAAAAAATTAATTTATCACCATGATTATTAGCTCAATTTGCAAGTTTGAAATTGGCAACATTAAATAAAAAATGTTATAAGAATTAAAAATATTGTGTCGTTAAGATTAATACGCAGTCAGAAAATTTTATAATTACTATTTATAGTAAATTTATCAAAAAAGCTCAAAAAAATGTTGCATTTTTATCGTAATGGATATAATAGAACTTAAATAGAAATAATAGTAATAATTTCCTAGTAATTTTAATGAATTACTAGAACTTAAAAAACAATAAAAAAAATGTTAAAAACATCTACTCAATAGAGCGTATTATAAAATTTGACTATAATTGTAAAAATCCATTGTTAATTCAGGAGAAACTAACAATCATTTTTTTAGAAATTATTTATATAGCAACAAGTTACCAAAACATTTGGAATATTATAGTCACACACAAATAGAGTAAAAAATTATTAAATTACAAAGTAAAATGATTTAATTTTGTAGTTGAAACCTATCAAATTATCATATCAAACTTGATTCGTCAATAAATACTTTGAAAACATTAGGAATGAATGATTTTTAATTAAATGAATTATTGACATATATAATTATAGACCAAACGTATAACTATTATTAAAAAAAAAAATCAGATAAAAATGTTAATTGGATCAAAAGTTATTTAAGTTGTCTGTGAGTGTTGGGCCACTCTGTAAATTAAAATATAACACAAAAGCTCAAGGACGAACATTTTTTTACAAAAAAAAAACAAAAATAATAAAAATATTCCTCCAAAATAGATTATTCTAACAACTATTATTTATTTTGTGAATTTAAATTTTATTTTGCGATGAAATTAAAAAAAAAATTAAAAAAAAGCTTTTTATATAAGATAAAATTTTATTTAAATTATAAAATATTAAAAAGAACCAATATATCTCTTATATATTAATTAGATTTTCATCCTACGAATACCATAACAATGCTATATTATATTTAAATTTGGATATTAAATAATTTTTAAGAAAAACGGGTAAAGGAAATACGTTTTATACATGATTTATGTTTAAATTTTTAGTAGTTTTGTGTATTTTCATAAATCAAATTCTCATTTTCATACTTAATGTTTTATGTATATTTTATATTTTGAGTCTAGTCCTTATTTGAAATAAAAACTGATTGATTGACGTTTCCTATCGAAATATTTACTCAAAAAGAAGTAAAAATGATAAAAATATTCTGATAAACCTAGTGCATCTAAAAATATGAACTATATAACTATATAAAATATAACTGTATTTTTGACTAAACTTACCAAGAAGTTTAAGTAGGCAATTTCTATGACTGTATAAAAATAGGCATTCCTAAAATATGAGTATTAGGAATATCGGTGACATTTTACATTCAGGTAAATTATGAAAATCATCTCTGTTTTTACCTACCTAGCTGCACTTAATATGATGATGATAAAAGGGCTCAACATAAAACTAAACGACCATATTTTCCTCTTTGGATCATCAAAATGCGTTGAAAACCCAGAAATAAAAAATTACAGTTAACTTTTATTTTTATACTTATTATGTTAGTAAAAACTTACGAGGAGTGAAAATCAAAATATAAAAATATTTCAAGTATTTGTTTCTGAAGGAACAGAAAAAATAGCATAGGTCAGTAGATACTATAACGATTTTTCTACTAATAGACATAATAATAGATAAAATATTGTTTCCGCGTTTCAAAATAATTTTATGATTAATGTTCTACAGTGTGTACACACTTTACATTTAATGATCACGTTGGGACTATTTTGTATTTCGACATCGTTATGAGTCGCATTAGATAAAAATACATATATATATAAATAACACGCTGAAAGCTAAACGACTTCCACAATGATACGAATACTGACAAGATGATAATATTATACTCAATGTCTAAAAATAACCAAGTTAGTATAAATTTCAACCACACAACCAGATGCAACACAGAAAACTTACATCTATTTTATCGTATTAAAATAAATGGAATAAATAATGTGATAACGTTGGAGTTAGTTTCTTTTCTCTCAAATGCACAAAAAGGTCTACTTAGCTGTAAGATAAATCCAATATCCCTTTAGAACTGTCAATCCGTTAAATTTCATTAGTTTTTATCAATTATCTTTGAGATTTATTCTATGGGGAACTAAACTTTAATTGGTAAAAAACATCACGTAGCCTTGTTATTGACTCAAAGTAGCACGTATGTAACTACTCACGTATACTTTCCACATTTAAATTATAAGTTATTAAAAATACGATCAGAACTTTTGTAAACATTATAATAGCGTTATAATGTAATATTATAATAATAATATGCTATATACATACTATATAGTTAATTCATTCTCAATACTAATGATGACATTTACTAACTATATTTTTATAATGCAATTTTGAGACCAAATATTGTCACAAGTAATTTTATGAACAATGAAATATAATAATAAAAACAATATTTCAACTATTTTAGATTTAACATTTTTTATTAGATTGGTTGTTAAAATAAAAATTAATAAAAGACTCTTGATATTAACTTGGGATAAAATAAACTTTTTAACGCAATGCATTTTTATAAATAATAAACACGTTGTTTCCCAACTAACTTCTAGCACTATAATTTAAGTATAAAAATAATGGGAGCATCAGGTGTGTCAAAAATTACTGAAATAATATTATTAAAAATAAATTCTGTTATATACATCGTTAAATATATAAATCATTATAATCGCTAACGTATATCATTATGCTAGAAATATCAAGAAAAGCTTGATCATCAATTATTTACCAAAGTTTCCGAAAAAGCTTTGTATACAAAAAAAACCTTATCGCACGTTGAAAGTCCAAGTAAAATGAGAAGTTTTTTCCAAGGTTTTATTTCAGTAAGTATGCACTTAAAAACAGAATAACATTTATATTATACATAAATCGGGTATATAATCTACTCAAAATATTTTAACAGTCGATTCAAATTTCTTAGATGAATTATACATCACCTGACTTATTTTTGTTTTACTAATCAATAATTATAAGTAATAAACTAATATTCTTTGTATTATACGCATTTCGATAATAGTACGATAGTTTTGAAGTTCTTGTACATAATTATCAAATGTTATAACAAATGCCTTAAAATTGTCTTAGAATAAAAAAAACTTATATAAATAATACGAATATGAATCTTACACAATTACACATCTATAAATGTGTATTTCTAATGAATTAAGTAGTACGTGTACGTTTCAGCAAGATGGCTTAAATAATATTCATTTCTCATTAGTCTATTGTATATTTAGATTGCGAGTGCACACATGTATGAAATCAGCATACACTTGTAAATCAATACAGTAATTAATACCTCAATTATAACGTAACTAATTGCTCTACGTAACCTCTTGTGTGAACAACGCAAGAAGAAATGATGTAATAATCAATGATATTTAATTATTTTTAATTAAATAAATGGTATATTTTACAAATAGTATCGTTCAACAAATTCGATGTAATGTATAATAGGATAAATTTTTAAAAATATATTTTTATATATACTTGACTTTATAAACATAATTAACATTCATGGTTAAAAGAATACTGCAATAAATTGACAAGTATATTATTTTTCATTATATTTTCGAACATATAAAGTTTACTGATAAAATGTACCGAATGATTAAATAATTATAAATAAAAATGAAAACTAACAATTAAAAAACAAGGTAGTATATTTAGCAAGCATATTTAGTCAACATTCATCAAAATACCATTAAAAAAAAAAAATGATGACGTTTACACGTCATCTACTCAGAAAACATATGGAAAATAAATTATTATACAACATGATTTAATAAGAAAAGTTTTCTATTCATAAATTAACATTAGTCATTTTCAACTCATAAATCGTTAAAAGCGTGTGCACATTAAGGAAACATCTGAGCGTCCCCAATCACTTAAGTTATAAATTATAACACTTTTTACTTGACGTAACGAAAATTAGTAAAACATGTCACGACAAACAATTGCAATTTCATTATTTATAGTTATTTATCAGCTAAAAATAGTAATTTTCATGTAAAATAATTGTTTTTTATTGACTTAGGATATTTTAGTAGTTTGTTTTTAATTTTAATACTCATTATTTTTTTATATACATTTTTTTGATTCAAGAATAATTATCTTTTTAAAAAAATTGAAATCTTATTTATTTATAATCATGCAATGTTTTTTAACTTCAAAAAGAATAATGTATTTATTTCAAATCGCTTTTCACTGTCAATTGAATATTACAAAACGTCTATTCAATAAAAATAATAGAAATGAATTCTATAATAACTCGAACCAAAGGTTTATGGATATTATTTTTTATTAAAATACAACAATATCTTGGATATTTATTGAACCGCATAAATACATAGCATGATGCTATTTACAATGATCACTACTAAAGCTCAAAATAAAAGCAGTGATAGTCGAGGTAAAAAAACTGATGTGATTCAAATAAAATCGTAACCATAAAAAAGATTGTATATGTTATATATAACTGAATTAACCAACAGAGATTTATTTTGATTAAGTTCGTGCATAGGGCGTAAATATTTTATTTTTTTCAAAAGTCCAGATAACGAAAGAAGACTCGGGGGATTAATATAGACTGTAAAATAAGGAGCGTGTGATTGTGTATCAAAGAGTATACAGACAGTATATAGTTAAACGGATAACGCATATTTTCTACAGCACTTAATGGACCAAGTAATTTTAGATTCTTGTGTGTATATACACGTACAATAGAATAAACCATTAAGATTTGATGACCTAATTTAAGTACTAAGAAATTGTTATTTTGTAAAACCACAAAATACGAATTCTAAAATTAAAAGATAATGACTTCATTACGTATTTCAATTATTAGTGTATTGCAAATTTCATTCAATTAGAGTAGAAAATCATAACTCGAATTTTTAAGCGTGTGGATATTGTTCATAGTAATTTTACAGAGGATAAAACTTTCATTGATTTTTCCCTAATTTTTTATTGCAAACGTTATAAAACTAAAAAAAAAATAACTAGAAAAGCTTTAGCTCAGCTAAGCGAACATTACAAAATATAATGATAATTACTGTATTCAATATGAAATAAAACAAAATACCTTGAAATAATAATCCCATAATAATAATGTTGTTCAATAGAACGCTTTATGGTTTCAACAACAGTCATTATAAATAGACCCATTGTGTGTGTTGATGAGATATTATATAATACTCTTAGACATTTCAAGTTTTATATTGTTAAGTCATACCCAAACGGTGGTCCATGCACTCAGAAAGCAATATTAAGATCCCATTATAAAGGCTCTGAAATTCATATACACCGATTTTTTTAAAAGATGAGATGACATGTTGTCGAGTCGTTAGTAGTAAATAACGACTAGGGTTTTTCTTCATGTCGATTTGGATAAATAAACCGATCACCTTTTTTAATAGGACAAACTCAATATAATCGCATAATGTATTTTATATAACTTTTATTTTAATTAATCAACTTTATGTCTTTTAGAAAAATCTTTTACCAAATTTTTATTTCTAATAGATTAAAAAAAATCGTATCATATGAAAATATATTAGTACTTTAAATTATTTAAGTAATCTAATATTATAATTATAATATTCCAATAAATCACAGATGTCACTAATATTTGAAGGGTAAAAACGCTATCAGGTTTATTAACTGATTATTTATGTATAAATAACGACCTTACGACTTGGAAATCACATTTAACTCTAAACGTCACTGAAAATACACCTCGACAAAATAATATTTATTATTATATATAATGTACATAATATTTTTATTAAATAATATTGTTGTAGAAGCATATATTCTATACTTCTACAACAATTGAGTCACTGAACTATAACTTCTAAAATCTGTTTTAAATTTACAGAATAAAGCAATTTTTCGATAAAAATAACAAGTGAATTCAAAATAATTCAAAAGTATTAAATTTAAAGTGAGATATAGCTGTGTTTAGTGACTAAACGCGATTTCATAACGAGCACAATAGAATCATTTGAATAATAAGAATTTTGTAAAAGAGATAATCTAGGGTATGGTGAGGAAACATTGTACTGGTCATTATTCCCAACATGTAGAAGTACAACAATAGCTAAAGATAACAGTAAATAAACATAAAACTTGAAATCTTCAAAATGAAAACAAAAAAAGCAATTAAATCTAGAACCGAGATATCATAGTAATACACGAACTGATATACATCTACTTTACAAAATTATTAGCATACTGTGTCTTTGAGTTACTATGTAAATTTCCAATATAGACAAAATCAGAGAACCGTATTGACTCGCTAACGCTCAGTGTTTCTAGGTGCAATATAGGTNCCAACATGTAGAAGTACAACAATAGCTAAAGATAACAGTAAATAAACATAAAACTTGAAATCTTCAAA